TAAAGGGAGGGAGGGGAGATACAGTTTCCCACTGCCCCTTTTGTTAATTGTTTTCTTTCCTCGCAATTACATCTGAAGCCCGACCGGGCCCGTTGCTCGTAGCGTCTTTGTATTTCTGGTGGGAACCACGTGGGACGGCAGAAAAGACCCCGAAGTCCCTCCTCGCTCCCGCTCCCACCCGGGCTCCGAATCCGCCCCCTCCGCCCTGTGGCCCCCGCAGAGCCGGGACCACCGCGGCCGGGCTGAGGCCGGGCCGGGTACCCGCAGCGGTTTTGGACCCTTCTACTGCAAGCTCTGTGCATCCATCTTCCGGCGGCTGCACCTTGCGCCGAGCATCCCCGTGGTGAAGTCCGATCGAAAGGGAAAAGGGGAAAAAGCCGTTCTGCTGCAACCAGGCCTGAGGGGAGAGGGAGAAATGGAGAAGGACAGGGAGCAGCTCGGTCAAAACTCTCTGTGTTTCGCGGCGTGAAGCCTTTCCCCGGCTCTGTGCACCGATGGGCGGGGAGGGGAGGGAGGTGTAGGTACCGAAAAATTTAAGGGATCGTTTAAGAACGGAGTCTGCGATGAATGGGGAAGGGGCGAGAGGGTGGGGGGAAAGTTGGAAAATGGATTCGCTGACAAGGAGGGATAATAAATGAGAGGCGCTTTCAGATAGATATCTCAGACGTGAAATTGCACCCAGCTGGTTGTGTAAGCAAACAAATAGTTTCATGTTAGGGACTCTCGACTTGTGGCTTGATGAATAGAACACGACAGAGGTAAATGGCTCTTTAACTCATTTAGGAATAAAACTCTTTGGCTTCGCGAGCAAAGGACCTGGTGACGCCATGGATCCTGAGCAAGCACTTTAACAAGAGTTTTATTAGTTTCCAATTGCACTCTCACATCCCCCCCCTCGCTCACCTCCTGCCTTCCTCTTTTTTCCTCCCTTTTTTGCACGTTTTCCTCTCTCTCTTCTCTCCACACTCCTGGAGAACGCCTCTCCAGGAAAGATCCCCACGTCACGGCGCGGGGGGATCCGCTTGTTCACTAGGGGCCGTGCTCTGTGCCCTGTGACATTTTCCTGTTTCTAGTTCTCACTGCGTTTCCGTATCGCCGTAGAACGATCATTCTCGGCCGCCCTGACACGATGGGAAAAACCTTAGGAGTGAGGGTAAGTTATTTGTAAAAAAAAAAAAAAAAAATCATGCCAATGTCCGCGACAGTGGGGCCAATTGTAGAAGGAGGCTTTAAAAATGTATTTGCACATTTAGCGGTGGTCACGGCTTTCTAAGGTGGAAAGAAACTGGAAGGTGAGTGGGGAAAGACGGGCACCGGGCACTGTCTGCCTCAATAAGGCATGGAGGGGACGGGATGGGGCTCTGGGAATAAAAGCGGAAGAAAGAAACCAACAAACAAACAGAAAGAAAAAACCCACCCGAAAACAAAAAACACACACACAATAAAGGCAAACGAAACCCTCACCCACCCCGAGGCTGATATTTCAAGACTTAAAAATGAATGAATGCTTTGAATAGCCAAAGCGCTCCACGAAGCAGGAGGAGGCATTCCAGCAGTGCCCGTGACAGCCACGCACACACACACGGGGGGGGGACACAGCCTGGGGAGGTCCGCGGTCACGACTGCGGGGACGGTCTGTCAGCCGGCTGTGGGTCTGTCCCGGCCGCAGCGCGGAGCCGCCTCCCCCCTGCGGCCGCACGGATCCGCTTCGCCCTGGTGTTGCTATGTAGAGAGGACGGCTGACTGCTATACACCGCAGGTAATTTGGGTGAAAAAGGGAAAAAAATAAAGGAAAAAATAAAAAAGGAAGGAAAATAAAATTCGGAGAACCCTGTCCATCTGCTAAAAGGAGCTTCTCCCTCCTTCGTGGAGACAGCCGTGCCGGTTCCACTCGCGTAACACTAAAAGCAGTGGTGGATTTCACTTCGTCTGTTGTTATCATTTCTGCTGTCCCCCTGAGTGACCCCGAGGCACGGTCCAGCAGGCCCCTCCTCGGCCGGGGCACCTGGAACTCCCTCTTTGACACTTCCATCGCTGCCAGCTGCGGAGGCCCCGCTCCTCCAACACGAAAAGGGCGCAGGGCAGCGGCCCTGACCCCTGTGGGAGCGGGAGTGGTGTCTCAGAGCCCCCTGATCCGCAGGTGGAGGCGGCGAGAGAGGGCATCGCCCTTCCCGCACCCCCTCCCCTTCACTCACACACAGCCCGACCGCAGCTCTGCCCTAAGCACCGCCGGGGAAAGCAGGGCTGACCCCGCGCCCCCGTCCCCGCTGGGCTCGATCCTCCATTTAGGGGTATTTCCAAATATTTGTTTGATGGAGGACAGAGGACTCTTTGGGCAGACAGCTGAGCTGGGGTGGACACTTTGCGGGCCATCGCGCTCAGGACTGGGGTGGGAGGAGTGGGCTCGGGCCCCCACTGACTGCCGCTCTGCTCTCTGTCCGCGGAGGGGGCGATGAGGGGTGCGGAGGGACCGTACGTGACATCAGGGCAGAAGGGCGGTTGGTTTCAAACCAAGGAGCGGTCTTCAAAGCAGTGTATTGTAAGTCACGGGCTCTCTCTTCTTTCTTTCTTTCTTTTTTTTTTTTCTTTTCTTTTTTTTTTTTTTTTTCCCCCAGCAGAGCACCGCCCGGTGCCGCGGACGCGCGGTATTTTCAGCCGCACGCCCGAGGGCTGCAACGGGGCGGAAAGGAGAGCCGCAGAACAGAGCGGAGAGGGCAGTTCACACCTCGGCACACAGCACCGTCGTGTCAGCAAAGTTTAATGAGGGGTCGGAACACTTCTTTCGGACATATACATGGAAATGCGCGCATCTCGCACACCTCCTCCACAACTGCACGTTTCTTGGCAATCCGTGGGTCATTATAATTATCCACAAATATGAAAATTAATTGAAAAATACTCTTCTGACCTACGAAAAAAAGTTTATCTGTTTTCATCAGTGGGATAACACTGTAATGAATATATTTACATCTCATTGGAAGCCACCGAGAGCTGCTTTTCTCTTCCGCTATCCCTATTTGTTTGTGGTTTTATTTTTTTAATTATAACATCTAATGATTTCTGAGTTTCTGTTGTTGTGTTTTGTGGCTTTGTGTGTGTGCGCGCGCGCGCTTTCGTTCCTCTGCTTCACCCCCCGCTGTTGGTCCCCCCGTGTTCCCACCCACCCACCCTCCCCAGCGCACGGCAGGGGCACTCCTTCAGCACCCCCAAGGTCTGGCCTTCTCCCGGGACCCCCACCTGGGCGGGGAACAGAGCGGTATCCCCGCGCCCCATCCCCACCCGCAGCCCCCGCTCCCCCTGAGCGGCGCCCGTGGGCCGCCCCTGCGCAGCGCCTGCCCGCAGCGCTGGTACCCGGCTGTGAGCGTGGAGCTGCGCTCGCCTCGGATCTGCTGCGCCTGGAATATTAAAAGCCCCAAGCGGGTTGGGTTGAAGGATCTTGTTAATGCAAAAAGAGAGAGAGAGAGAGAGGGCAGAGGGAGAGAAGGAGAGGATGGAGGACAGCAAATTAAAAGAACACCGCCCGTGACTCCACGAACCTGCCTCATCCGGGCTCGTTGGGGGCACGGGGGTGTCTGAGCGCGGGGGCAGTGCTATTTTTAAAGATCCGGCTTTATTAATACGTTAAGAAAGAGATCCCCTGGCAGTGTGTGTTCTACAGCTCTGTCTCGGATCCCATAAAACATTAATGCGATGGAAGCTGTTACAGGGACCGAGCAGCACTGCGAAGCCTTCACCTCCACAGCAGCTCCATTACGGAAATGATCTTTAATTTTTCCTTGGCTCAAAAAGATAAAAACAAAAATAAAAGCACGCCCGGGATACGTGCGAAGCGTGGAGACAGGGCAGGTGTCTGCCGTGGGCACAGTGCTAGGTGCCCGCTCAAGGCTGGGGCAGAGCGGCCCTCTGAGTCCTTGGGGTGAAGAGAGAGAATGTGAGGAGGGGAAAGGGGAGGGTGGGAGGAGGGGAAGAAAAGAAAAGAAAAAAAAAAGGACATCAAAGCAGCAATATAAAAAATAATAATTAAAAAAAAAAAGACGAAAAGGGACCGTGTCTCTGCGAGAGGTGCAGCAGCCACGGCCACTTTGCGCCCCGTCCCGCGGTCCCGCAGGAGGCAGCGCAGTGTTGTGCTCCGGCCGGGCCGTCCCACACCGGACACGTGCGAGGGCCTCGGCCCTCCCCTGTAGGGCCGGTACAGGAGATAAAGGTCCAGGCATCTCTAGTGGTTTTGGTTATTATTATTATCTTTCTCTCTTTTTGGTGAACTGTTGGCATGTTTCAAGCAACGAGACTCGTGGGTTGTGGGGTGATAAGTTGTTGGTGCTTTTTTTTTTTTTTTTTTTTTTTTTTTTTTTTTTTTTTTTTAAATTCTTTTATTTTTGTTTAAATTCTCACTTCAATTTTAATTCTTGAAGAACAGCTTCGACAACATATATCGCACTCATTATAAGAAGCAAAGGGTTATATCAAAAATTATTAGTATAGAATCACAGGAAACCTGGTTTGGAACCAGAAAAAAATACAAAACAGATATAGATACATAGACACAGGACAATTTTTTTTTTTTATAATTATTTGGAAAATGTTATTTTCCCCTAATTCTTGTTTCTTTCTTTCCTTCTTTCTTTTTTTTTTTTTTTTTTTTCCTTTATGCGCATACGATGTCTTAAGTTTTACAAAAAATGAAAATAAAGACTAATATTTTACAAAATGAGTAACAATGCTCGTGGTAAGTGTTTGCGCGTGGAATTGTTTATCGGTTTGTTCGCTCGTTGGTTTGTTGCTCATTCTACATAAGGTTCAGTTCAGCTTCAACGCGATTTGTTTTGTTTGTTACTGTACAGCATATATCAACAACAGTCCACAATAAATCCTGGAAGCTCCAGTATCCCCTTCAGGTGTGATTAATATCCCCTCAATACTCATATTTTTATTTTTTTGTATTTTTTTAATTTTTTTTTGCCTTTTTGTCTTTTATTATTATTATTATCTTTTTTTTTTTCCTCCTCTCCGAAAGAAAAAAAAAACGGAAAAAAAATATATAAAAAATAATAATAATAATAACCGGAACCCAACCAAACCGAAGACCAACCGCAACACCACGACCCACACGGACGCGAGGTCCGTCCCTCTCCCCACCGCGGCCACACCTCTGCTCCCACTCGCGCCGTTCTTTTGTTCAGTGTCCGCCTCCCGGGCCCCCCCCGCGCCCCGACCGCCCCTCGGTGCGCGCGCCCCCGCCTCCGCCGCCGCGCAGCGTCCCCGCCGGGCTGCGGCCGGGCTCTAGGAGCACTGGATGGACATGTAAGGCCAGTTGAAGCTGCTCCCCGACAGTAGCATATCCCTGATGAGGGTCTCGATGGGGGTTTTACCTACCAAGCGGACGAAGAAGAGCTGCTCGATGACGGAGGAGGAAACGGTGCGCAGGGAGGGCAGCCGCAGCAGCAGCTTGCCGAAGCGGCTGGGCTGGTTGGGGTACTGGCTCCGCACGTACTCCTCCAGCGCGCACTGCGATTTCTCCTGCAGGCTCTCGATGTGCGCCGCATCCGACAGCCCGCAGGCGTCTGCCCGGGCCGCAGCGCGCCCGCGGAAAGGCGGCCGGGGGGTGCGGAAGGGAGAGGAGGAGAGGGGGTAGGAAGGGAAGCGGTTAGTGGCGGCGGATGGACCGCAAAGCTGCG